AAATAATAATAACAATAATAATAATAATAATAATAATAATAATAACAATAATATCGGTGCTGTTCTGTGAGTTCACGTTCAAACCGTTTCCCAGAAATCAGCTCCAATAATTCCAATAAATCAGAAACTGTTTTCAGAAATACTGCAAATGAAGATTAAAAATGCAGCTTTCTGGTAAACAGCATCCAGGACAACGTGTCTCCAGGTGTGCTGCGGGTTACCTGGTCCCTCCGGTCCAACAGCTGCTGGATCATAATAATAACAATGTGAGACTCGCCGGAGGCTGACAGCAGGTCCGTCAGCCTCCACCGGCCTCCATCAGCCTCCACTAGCCTCCACCAGCCTCCACCAGCCTCCAGACCCGCTCACCAGCCTCCACCAGCCTCCACCGGCCTCCAGACCCGCTCACCAGCCTCCACCAGCCAGCAGCACATGTGAGGACCCGGCTCCCCGTCAGGCTGACCTGTGTTCCGACCCACTGGGTGTTAAGTACCGCCACTAAGCCCCATTAAGGTCTGAAGCTGAATCCACGTTCCCCCGCCCCCCCACGGCCCCACGGCCCCACGGCCCCACGTCCCCGGCTGAATGGAGGTGATAATGGGCCGTTATCTCATCCTTCTCAGGGGGGACATGTTTGACCCGCTCAGGGGCTCCCCGCGGAGAGGAGGCCCAGATAGAGAGCTCAGCAGCTCCGGTCTGACACGGAGGTTCTGATATTTTTTTTATTATGTAGGAACAGAAGCAGGCAACAGAACCGCTGTTTGGACTTTCTCTGCACTTGGACGCACATGTTGCGCAGATCTGTGGCTCAGTGGGTTCGGCAGAACTTGACTTGTTGTCCCAGAAGCTTGTGGAGGATTGATGTCGGTGCTGAATAAACACTGAAGAACTTTATAACGTCAGCATGGTACCAGAACTTCTGCCATTCTACTGGTCGTTCCTCAGCAGCTCATTATGGATCCTGCAGCCAAAACAAAACCCCAGAACTCTGTGGATATGACCTGGGCATTTGGACGGAACCCCGCTGTGGTGTCCTGTGGTCCTGGTTTGTGGATTGATGAGGAGCGGCCCTGTCCGGCCCGGACGGGCAGCCCGGTGTGAATGGGCTCCACAGATTAGGAAGCCCCTCTGACAAGGAAATAATCGGATTACTCTGCAGGAGGAGGCGCAGCGCATCTCCACAGTCTCCAAACACTCAGATTATCTTAATTCAATTAATTCTCAATACACACACACGCCGCGCGCGCTCACAGCTGATCTCAGAGCAGCTTCTCGGCGGTGACGTCAGCGGGCTATAAGAGCCGCCGAGCCCGGAGCGGGCCTCCTCAGACCTCCGGTCCGTCCAGCACAGCTCGCTGCGCCGCGCGTTCACAGGAAGCCTCCAGAGCCACCATGACGCAACTGTAGGAAACTTTTCCTGGGAGCGGAACCTCTCGGTCTGGACTCTGACTGCAACCAGAACTTTTCGTTTTCCGAGTTCCCCTTCCAGCGCTCCGGCGGGGTGATGCCAGCCGGCATGTTCAGCATCGACAGCATCCTGTCCGCGCGGCCGAGCTGCAAGGAGCCGCTGCTGCTGCACCGGAGCGGCCCGGTGGTTCTGTCCGCCGGCCTCACGGACTCTCTGTACACCGACTACAACGGACTGTACTCGGCCACATGCGGACCGTCCGGCCCGGGGGTTCAGTCCGTGAACGGGACCAGGCTTGGATATAACGGCTACTACTACGGACAGCTGCACGTCCAGGGCGCAGGAGGCGGGCCGCCGTGCTGCGGCTCCGTGGCCGGCCTCAGCGCGCAGCAGTGCCCGTGCATCCCCACAGGTAGGACCAGAACCACACACACTCACTTACCTCCGCAGTTTTCCGTTTTCAGTGGCGGGAAGAGGTTCGGTGTTTAACGGGACCGAAAAGCTGGAGCTTGTTGAAATAAAAACCGGAGCCGTGCGGCTGCAGCAGGCCCGAGTTTAACGGAACCGTCTGGAAAAATACTTTATTATGATCCGGTTCTGGTTCAGAAACTCTGGGCCTTTTTTTAAATGATCTTTTATATTTAATTTTTCTGACCGTTCAAGTTTCTCATATGATGTTTTATATTATATTATATTATATTATATTATATATCACATTATATATTACAATAAAATATATAATCGGATATTCTATATATATCATAATATAATGTAGAATATCAGATTATATATTATCTGATATATAATAATACAATAATCTGATATTATAACATAATATATATTATCATGTTATATATTATAACATGATAATGTATATTATAATATATAATGTGATGTTGTGACAGTGACCAGAACCCTCTGACCATCGGCCTCATTATTTTAATAGCCTAGCATATAACCTATACTGTATCCTGTATATATAACTTATCTTATTTTTTATACTTAAATCTCTTCTATTTTTCATTTTTTTGCTCTTTATTTTGTACTTTATTATGTATGGCACTGAAGGAGCTGCTCTCAATCTCATTGTACTTGTGTATAGTGACAATAAAGGCATTCTATCTTCTATTCTATCTAATATAAGCTATAAATCTGCTCTTTACGCACCAGAGGCCGGAGCGGTCCGGTACCGGAACACTGCTGTAACCGTGTGAGGCTAGATGTGTGGAGATGTTTTATTCTGGGGGTTCTACTCGTCCATGTCTGCCCGTGGACATAAAGGCCGTTAAACGGAACCCTTTACAGACTCCAGAGAA